GCAGCGCAAGCGCGGGGTGGAGAGGAAACCGCGGGGGTGCTGTGCTCAGCGCAGCACCGGTACCTGTGTCAGCGCCTACCTCAACGCCGCAAAGGCCTTACAGTGGTGCAGAGGAGAGCCAGGCCTGCCAGAGCCAGGCCTAGGCACAGAGCTGGAACCTGCCGCTCTTGGGAAGGCGGGAAGACGGGTGGGCTGCGACGTTCACAACCTGCACAGGAGCAAGAAGAAATCACAGGGCGATCAGCAAGAGATCATTTAGTTCAGACTATCCGTGGCACCTTCTGTTATACCCACAGCCTCTCAGGCCTCATCTGCAACAGGGCTGGGCCTTACACCTTTCACAGAATCAATCACAGAATGGTTTGGGTTGGAAGGGGCCTTAAAGCCCATCCAGTTCCCACCCCCTGGGACACCTTCCACTAGACCAGGTTGCTCAAAGCCTCATCCAGCCTGGCCTTGAACACTCCCAGGGATGGGGCATTTCCAGGGCTTTGACTCCCTGGGGTTTACGTCCCCTGTCTGTGCATCACAGATGGGCCACCTTGGCTTTTCCAAGTATGAAATAACTCGTTTTTCCCTTAGCTGAGAAGGGACCAGAGGCTGGAGCCACAACCCCTGAGCACAAAGGCAGCAAACTGCACCCGGCCGTCAGTTCCTCTGTCAGTCGCCCCCGTGAAGGCTGAGCAGCACTGGAAAGCAGCTGCTAGAGCCATCTGCAAGTGGCAGGCAGAAAAAGGGCACCTGGCCGCTCCTGGGAGGTCCCTCAGCTCACCGCTCGACACCAGGAATGGGCAGCACAACGGCTCGCAGCGGGGCACGGGCATCAGACAGAACACGGCAGCACCAAGAGCTGAGCTCCAAACACCTTCCATCCCTGCGTGGTGGGGGGGGCAGAGGGAATTGCAGCGGGGAGGGTGGAAGGTGTTCACCCTTCCTGAACACCATCCCTCTCTCGCTCGGGTCAGCGGTCGCCTGAGGACAGGCACAGACTCGCTGGCCTCTCCGTGCACGAGGTGCTTTGACGCCAGGAGTAACTCGGGGACACTCCAGCGCCAGCAGGAACACCATGGGAGCAGGGTTTATCCCGCAGGACCGTACGTGGGGCCAATCCTGGTCCCGCCCGGACCGCCTGTGAGCACCAGGAGAGACACCTTGCTCTGCTACTCGTGAGTAACCTGTTTGGTAGGGAACTGGATGAATTTCCAGCTGAGACATACCAAGAACCATCCACACAGGAATACACCAGAAATGTTAATAAATAATAAAGTTTTCCATGCTCACCTGTTGACGTTTTGGTAGGAAACCATATTTTCCCCCCCCAAATAACTCACCAAAGCCCTGGTGTTGTCCAGGTCCCTCTCGGCCCTCAGCTGAAGCCGCCCGGCGCACGCTAGGGAGCGGCTCCCTAGTCCCCAGCCGTACTGCCCGGCAGCTAATGCCGAGAGACACGGTTAGCGGTGCCAGCCCTTGGCCTCCCGTCCAAAAGCTTCACAAAACTCAACACTACAACACTGCTGGTGGAAAAAGTAATTAGGAAATTTGTCATCAAGTCAGTCAAATACCCCCCGTTGCCATTAAAACAGACACCGCACAACGGAGATAATTCTGTGCCACGACAGCTATTAACATGCAGAGGCTGACTCGCCCCTGGGGGCTGTTGGGTATCCAGAGGCACACGTGTTCTCCCACCCCAGCTAATGCAAGCGGCGTGAGGGCAGGACAGCAGCAGGGTAACCCCCACCGTTCCCCCGCTCCCGTTTCCAAACGGGGCAGCTCTGCTAAAGAGGGAAGCTCGTACTGCAAGGCGCTCCCTTTGGCTGCAGCTCAGAACTTGTACACGTAACCGGTTTTTAAGGCCCCTCGCTTCAGTGGGACTTGGATTTCCCACTAAACCAACAGCAATATCCACCCCCACCCAACGCTTCCCCACTTGGACTTCTCCAGTCAGCTTCCTTACTTCTGGTGAACCCGGCACGGGATCACTTTGAACACAACTGGCTAAAAACTCAGCGTCACTCGCAAAAACACCTCCAATCCCACGGCTGCTGAAGCTTCAGCGGAGCTGTGTCCGGCCCCGACCCGAGCGTTTACGCCTGGTTACGTGTACAGGAGCCTCCGCAGCAGAGAGAGCTCGCTTGCACCGTGTGGACACGCCACGTGCGAGGCAAGTCACGGACTGATAGCAGCGTGTCACAGGTGGGGTGCACCAGGCACACGTTTCCAACAACTAACCTGCACCCAAAAACCAAGAGTCTACCGTCTCTGAGCTGTGCGCTGAGCAAGCATGAAAGCCAAGTTTTCTTCTCCACTTCTCCTGCAAAACAGCTCCCACCTCCCTGCTGCAGGTCTGACCTCTTGCTCTGCACAGCCCACCAACCAGTGAAGAACAATTTGCTAAATATAAACCAGTTTAAAAGAAAACAAATAGAAAAAAAACCCCACAAAACCGCAAAAATCAGTGAAAATGAAAATGTCAAAAAACAAACAGAAATCAAAGGAATTTATTTCCATCAACAAAAATACAGAATACAAAACGCTACTGGTCCCACCCTCTGAGTGTCCTCAAGATGGGCACAGGCTGCTGCCGCCCCCCGCGAAAGCTTCTCCGCTAATTCATAAGGACCTCCATTTGCACCAGCCTCGCGTTCGTGTCTCCCGACGTCCTGTAAGGGATCATTCCGGCAAACTTGATCAGCGCACGCGCTTGAGCTCGAAGCTGCTAAAAACCAGAAAAACAAAGCACAGTTCTGTTAGCGCCGACAAACCCCACGACGAAAGCCCAACGGGGGATGATCGCTCGCCTGCCCAAACCAGGAGACGTAAGCTTTGCTTCTCAGAGCTGCCCTCGGGATAACCCATCTCCGCATTTGGAAGGAAACCCAATTATTTCCTTTTCCAACCATTAAAAGCACATCGAGTAACCCTTTTACTGCAGAAAAGAAATCCCATTTATTTAAGATGACCCAAGAAATCCCATTTCCAACCACACAGGGCGTTGCTGTGCTGCAACAACCTTGTAATTCCTACATGAAGGGGGCTTTCCCGGGGAAACAACTTCCCTCTGGCATTCCCTCCTCTCCAAACACCAAGCTGACCCTGCTGGGAAGGCAGCACTAACATACTCAAGGCAGAAGCACTAGAGACAAACCGGTTGGTGGTGCCACACGCAGCCGGAGGTCTCCGGCATCGCCTACGACATCCCGACATCCTGAAAGGCTCCTCGTTCCGTAACACAAGGGAAGTAGATGCACCAAGTACACAGAGAGCTTTGCCTGAAATCACCCTTCCTGCACAGTGGGACTGTGTAACAGCTGCAGGAATTCAGAAATAACTGGTTTCATTGGTGAAAAATGGTGAGTAAGTTAAAAGGAAAATCATTCTGAGAACTGGAACAGGTCAGGAGAACACAGAAAGCCCAAGAGGAGGCTCCGAGGAGACCTCATTGCAGCTTTCCAGTATCTGAAGGGGGCCTACAAGGGTGCTGGGAGAGGACTTTTTACAAGAGCCTGTAGTGACAGGACAAGGGGTAACGGGTACAAATTGAAAACAGGGAGGTTTAGATTAGATATCAGGAAGAAATTCTGCACAGAGAGGGTGGTGAGGCACTGGAACAGGTTGCTCAGAGAAGCTGTGGATGCCCCATCCCTGGAAGTGTCCAAGGCCAGGCTGGATGAGGCTTTGAGCAACCTGGTCTAGTGGAAGGTGTCCCTGCCCATGGCAGGGGGGGTGGAACTGGATGATCTTTAAGGTCCCTTCCAACTCAAACCATTCTATGATTCTATGATACATGGAGAACTGTGCAGGCTGAATGATATGATTGCTCACAGTGTTTTCTTAAGCCTCTCTAAATGACTGCAGTAGAGGATGCCACTGTGCAAATCTTCCTTTAACCTAGGGACTGCAGGGAAAGCTGGAGCAGCTCTGGTTGCTGTGGGCACGGGGGTGGGAAGTCTGACAGCAGAGCCCGCAGCCGGCCAAGTGACTGAAGCTGCTGCGTGGCGGGGAGAGCTGTGAACACCGTCCCCCACTCCCGTCGCGGCAATTCCACCCCTCTGTTGGGGCGATGACGCTAACCCAGTTATTAAAGCAGCAGAGGAGCGTTGGAGGCTGGTAACGGAAAAGCTGGGATGCTCGTCTGCGCGTTCCACAATGCCGTCTAAGTGAATGCTGCTTCAGCTGGGCCAACGCCCTCAACTGCACGCGTGGGGCAGGGAAGTCTGCTTTAGCACTGAGAGCACAGCCACTCCGCGTTCCCTTTCCATTCCCCCGGCGGAAGGAAAGCCGTGACAGCCTGCAAAGCCCGGCAGCCGGGCTGCAGTACGGAGCATCGCGTGCTGTACTCCTGCCCAGCCGAGGATGGAGCCACGTGGCCGGCGACGCCGTGGGAGGCACTGCCCCCTTCCCAGAGCACCGCGCAGCGGAGCGAGCAGCAATGCCGAGACTGACCCCAACGCTAAAGGCTCCCAGGACAGTTTCACCTCCTGGTTAACACCGGTGCGTCAGCTCCTTCCGAGGTGGCCTGGAAATGACTCGTTCGGATCCAGTCACAGGCACCACTTCTAGCCCGCTTCCAAACGCGTTACGCGGCCAGGGCGCGGAATTAAGTCTGACCTGCTGCGTTACGGTGGAGGTCAGAGCAGGCCGCAGATGAAACAGAGCGTGCCCAGCTGTTGGACTCTCTGAAAGTAAAACATCAAGAGGCAAACCCCCTCGCTGTGGCGAAGGCAGGCCTAGGAGCCACGCGAGTCGCTGTCCCCTTCACCATCTCAGTAGCAACGACACTAGAGCTGGTTTTAAAAATCAAAACAACAGGATCGGTTGCAATACTTCAGGGAGAGCGAACAGGGGTTTGCAGAGGTTAAGAGCGGCCTGGAGGTCTAGATGTACTATTGGCTGTAATTACCTTACAAACTGAGAGTCACCCGCGATTTAAAATAAGACCACAATGAGAAAAAAAAAAGAATTCCATTCCCTTCATGACCTAATTTTGCCGCGGAGATAACACCCTCGGGCTGCTCCAGCAAGTTTGCCACCCCGGATCGGGGCGGGGAGCGTGTGACATTGCTGTCAGGCTCTCACGGCATCTGGGTCGGGCTGTCACCGCAGCCACGGCACGGCAGCCCGGGCTTGCTGCACTCTGCCCGAAATCTGACAAAATGGATCAGGCCAAGTGGGACAGGACTTTGCTCCCTCATTCCCAAAACTAATTAATGCGTATACACTTAAAGAAAGACTCAAAACACAGCTTGGGCGATCTCACGGTGAAAGAAACGGAATGCGCAGAGTGCCAGCTCCAACTCCAAACCCGGCCATCGCTAAGGAAAGCTCATTTCATCTGCCGAGTGGGACAGGAGACCTTCCAGCAGAGAGCATCCCTGCATGTGGGGGTCTCCAGAGGTCCTATTCCTCTCCATCCTGCCCAAGCCCCTCTACTCCCTTCCCACTGAGATCCCGCTCAGGGCAGCCAGCAGACCAGCGCTTGGCCCCAGAGGGCCAATTCGGAGCCGTGTGTCCCTGCTCCGGGGGACTGTTCCCTGCTGCCCAAACAAGCCCCAGACGTACTAACAGCGGCTATCTGGTGTCATCAAACCCTTCTGGTGAACAGGGGGGTTGGAATCTGCCTGCTCTGATGGATCTAGAGAAAATCCTGGGATTTCACAGACCTCTTCAAGGAAAGGTTATTTTTCACTTGCACGGTTCATTGGGTAAAGCTTCTGAAGAGCCTGATTTCCCCTAAAATTTGCTTCTCTGTGGAAAAAAGAAAAGCTGCCTTTGTCCCAGGGAAGTTCAAAAGTAAAATTCTTGCCAAGCACATCCTGGAGAAGCTTGTATCTGCCACCTCTGTTCAGGTAAACCAGGAGATTTTGCTGAAGAAACCCACCCCTCTCCTCACATCTGAAACACCCTCGTTTATTCCCACCACTAAAATCTCCCGAACTGCTTTCCCAGGCAGGGAAACTGAAACAATCTAGCTTCCCTGCTCCCACAGGCCTGGGGGAAATTCTTCAGAATAAGTAAAAAGGGGAACACAGCCTGAAGCTATTCTTACCCTACATTCCGTGTGCCCGTGCTTAGCATTTTCCTGTGCCTGCAAACCTTCAGCAGCCAGGAGCTACAGGACTGTAGATTAGTTCTCTCTAGCTACTCCTAAAGCAGCAGATTTATGCTCCCTTCTGACATTAGCCCCAGAGATACCCTTTTATCACCTCCCTGGCTGCAGGGACAGCAGGCGCTTGTCCCCTCTTGATGGTTACACACAGCTTTTATTGCATGTAGCGGCCAGAGATCCAGGACTCCGAAATCCTGCGTCTCCAACCCCACCGATACCCTGCTGCCACGAGATCCTACCACAAGGCCAGAAGCTTGGCTAACAAAACTTGAAGCCTGAAAAAAGAAAGCTTTCAAGGGCTTTTAGCAAGGTACATCATCAGCTGATCTCCACAACTGCAACAGCACGAAAGCACAGAGCACGCTTATGACACGCACCGGTAACACGCGTCAAATCGACACCTCGTCACGGTGGGTTCCTTCTACACAAACTCCTGCCAGCAAAGCTGCTGGTCCCACTGCCAATCAGCCCAACAGTCACGGCCACGTTGTGGCATTCGTGCTGAGATGATACCCGACAGCATTACAGCCCTCTGGAGGTGGTAAATGCTGCTATGCGAGGCAGAAGACTGAAATCACCACACCAGAATAAAGGGCTCTCTTGGAAAGCACGGAGCTATGGCTGTGTGCGCCACGCCAACCTTGTGAACACAGAGCAGGTAACAGACTGCGTGAGCCTGGGACATCACACGTGCAGAACTGAAGGGAAAAAAGCCCGAGCAGCACGCACCCTTCTCCAACGTTGCTGATCCAGAGTGCAAGCGCAGCTCCAAGGCAGGATCCCGTAGCTCTCACAGACTGTGCCCCAAAGATAGAAGCTAAATCACTACTTTAGCCTTTCCCTTTCTGATGTAATTACAAAATGCTACTAGGACTTTTACCAATATTGCAATTTATAGATCAAAGGCACTTCTGCGATGACTAAAGCCTGGAATAGAGCTGGCTGTGGCCCAAGCTGATTTTCATTCTCAAAAGGAGCTGATATTTATTTCCTAATCCATAAGATGGGATGAGTGGTTTGGCCTTGGTTGTCAAGTGCTGTGGCAGCTTTAACTGACACGACCAGCCCCGAGGACAGCTAAGCTGAGAACCCTCCTGCTCCACACACCAAGCTGACCGGTAAGTGCCCGCTAACCCAGCTGTGCTCTGCCAGAGGAGCCTATTTTGGAGCCTGCTGAAGGCGGGAGGAAACGCTTCAGCACCCACTCTAGCAGTAAGTGGCCAGCCGTTTCGAGCAGGCAGGCAGACCAGCCCCACCGCCCCGGGAGCCGCGCGCTCTGCGGCAGCAGCAGAACATCTTCACCCACTGAATGGGCTTGAGCATCCTGGCGTGCTGCCAAAAAACACCGAAGACGTCAGCGCGCAGCACTGCAGAAGCCAGCCAAGGAGAGGAGTCAAGGCCGTCCCACCAGACATCAGTTTGGCATGAACAGGTCACCAATTCAAATGGAAGGAGCCGACTCGGGATCTGGAAATCTGCTCAGCTGTCAAGGCAGCAACACCAACTGTCCTAGAGACGCTGCACTGCCCACGTCTGTTAACTAGGCAAGATCCCACCAAGACGCAAACTGAACACTTGTGTTCTCTTGCTAGGAGGTGGATATATAGTGTCATATATCTTAATTAGCTCAATGCCAATCGGAGCAATATCCTTTCTTTACACAAATCTGAAGTTATGAGAGACTAGCCTCAAGACTCCAAGTGACTGAGCAAGCTGAGTCTCAAGACTTTAAGTAACTGAGCAAGTCAAAAGCGAAGACCATTAGAGATTTACAGTTATTTGAAGCCCAGCACCTTGAAATCAGGAGAAGAAGGACGTAGGGAAACTTGTCAGAGAGTGAGAATTACAATCTTACCGAATCTCTGTCTTCCATTACCCGCTGGGGTCTGGCAGGAGTGGCTGGGCTTGTGCCTTTCATCCTCTTATACTGGGTGAATAAAATGTTCATGGTTGCAAGCAGGACCTCAGATAAATTGTGCCTTATCTACACAAAGGAAGGGAAACAAAAAAGGATATCTTGCAACGAAGAACAGGTTGGCAGAACCATTACCCTCGCTGTACAACATCAGAAGAGCAGGCAGTGACAACTACGGTTGATGCTCACTCAGCTAACAGCCACACCTTCAGTGGTTACCCCCTGTGAGTGCAACACCTGGCAAAGAGGGTTACTCGGCATTTTGAGACAGACAAGCGTAACAGCTGCACCTTCATGTCTGACAGCAACAGTTCATGTAACACCCAAAAACTCCAAAGGGCCCAGATACATACAAACACTGTCTAAAGGAGACGTGTCACCCTCCAGCGGAAACAGTTCGAGAGCAGTAACAGCCTCCCATTACGGCTGCATCAAATACGTGAGTGCCTCTAGGCTGGAGGGAAGGAAGCACAAACGCTCAGTGACCACGGGGGAAGAACTAAGCAGCACAGCTGAAAGCTTGAGACACTGCCAATTCTTGACCCACACCTGGTTAAATTCAGAGAGATTCCAATCTGCAGCCACCTTCTGCAAAAGGGAGAGAGGATTTCTACAGCTCCAAAGAGCAGCACTAAGGAGAAAAAGTTGCAAGCCAAGAGTCTGCTCATATGAAGGCAAAATACTCCATCCTAGTTCCCCATTAAAGAGTAAGAATGATGAGGTGACAAGGTTTTAAGATCCTTTTAACAAAGCAAAAGGCTTTTGGAAGCTCAACCCAAGAGATTTTACTTACTTCATCACTGAAATTCCGGAAGGCAGCAACTCTCTCCTCCACGCAATCTTGGCTAAGAGGTACAAGCTTCAGGCGTTCAATAATCTTCAAAAAGAAAGGGAATCAGGGTAGATAATCAATGTTTTCTGTATCATATACTAATCCAGTATGTTTTTGAAGTGTCAATGTAATGCTCCTGATTCCATTCAAGAGAAATCATTCCATTGTTATGCACTGCTTTATCTCCTCACTGTGCTGAGTAGCAGGAATATTTTCTTCAATGACTACAACACAGCCCCAGAAATAAATTCCCAATCAGCTAGCAACAGGGAAAAAAACACCTTTTAAAATTCCTATAGCACTGCAGCAGCTTCTAACTCACTAAATATCATTTTTTTTGTTTTAAGTGATGTGATTTGATACATTCTGGGGTTTCAAGGGCATTAGGAAGGCTGCACTTCAAACAGAACTCTGGAAACTCACATCAAAGGCTCTGTCAACGTGACCGGCGTGATACTCATCAAAAAACGTGATTAAGTCTAGCAGAAGGTAGAAGGTGGAGTCAATGGATTTTTTTGCACTTATCCCCTGAGCTTTGTACCTGAAAGAAAGAGTTTTACAATTGTATTGTGCAAACTGGCAACCATTTCTAAACGTGCCCTGGCAACTCTCACAAGCGGAGACATGAAACGCAAGGACAGGCGGCATCTAACAAAAGGCAGCTTTAGTCTTCCTTAACCAGGAGGCAGAATTTTCACAGGGGGTGGCTTTTTAAAAATACTTTTATTCACTTCTGGTTTTCCATCAAAACCAGCATTTGTTTCCTGTTAAATGCTTACACTTCCCATGTTCATGGGGACAACAGCGACAGGAACCAGAGACCTGCAAGGCAAGTGCCATACAAGCGTGTGTAACACGCTGGTTAACTGCACAACTGCCTGCGTCAGGCACGAAGTTAAGACTTCAGAATGGATTAGGCGCTTCGGCGTGCTCTCTCGAGCTCCACCTGCTTGGAGACAAACTCGGGGGCTGTCCACTCTCACTCCTAACAGCAGAAGGTCAGAAAGGAGCTCCCTCCTCGAGGTAAGAGCGGGTAAAGTGCCTGGAGAGGAGGAAGCCTTTCCTGCTGGGCGTCTCCCCTGTTCCAAAAACACCCCAAGAAGGCAGAGGAGGAAAGGTGGGTCACCACAGTACTGCCTGTAGTGCGGTACATGAAGAAAAGCCCTGTAGCACATTCAGTTGACAAGGAGATGAGCTAATCAGAGCCATCCTGGCGTTGTACCGTGAAGGCTGGCAGCTGTAATGTGGCGTTATTGGACAGTAATACTTAGCGCTTTCACGCGGATCAAAGCAAGCAGCACAACAAAGCCTGATACAGCCTTTACTAAAGCTTAAACTCCAGCCCCAGGTTTAATTCTCCTTCGTGTCTGCTACCAAATGAGCCTCTCACTGACTCACGGCGGCACCAATTTTCACTCAGTCTGCAGCCCGATGAATTGAAGGAAAGGCTGGCTGAAGGAGCGACTGGCCAATGCCACTTGTCAGAAGAAAGGCAAAGGCCTCTGACTGAAATCAGTGTGTTTCCGTATTTGTCTTCCCAATTTCCAAGTGCCAGCAAGTGTGCTCAGTTTATTTTCATAGAATGGTTTGGGTTGGAAGGGACCTTAAAGACCATCCAGTTCCAACCCCCCTGCCATGGGCAGGGACACCTTCCACTAGACCAGGTTGCTCCAAGCCTCATCCAGCCTGGCCTTGAACACTTCCAGGGATGGGGCATCCACAGCTTCTCTGGGCAACCTGTGCCAGTGCCTCCCCACCCTCTCCGGGAAGAACTTCTTCCTGATATCTAATCTAAACCTCCCCACTTTCAATTTAAACCTGTTCCCCTTTGTCCTGTCACTACAGGCCCTCGTAAAAAGTCCCCCCCAGCTTCCCTGTAGCCCCTTCAGGCACTGGAAGGTGCTATAAGGTCTCCCCGGAGCCTTCTCTTCTCCAGGCTGAACAAGCCCAATTCTCGCAGCCTGTCCCCATAGCAGAAGGCCTCCAGCCCTCGGAGCATCTTCGTGGCCTCCTCTGGACTCGCTCCAACTGGTCTACAGCCTTCTGATGTTGTGGGTTTCACAGCTGGACGCAGTGCTCCAGGTGGGGTATTTTTATTCTCTCCCCACCAGAATGGTTGAGGAAAAGCAGTAAGGTATTTCTCACAGGTACCCACATTGTGCTCTAGTAGAATACCGGCATCATCCACGGCAGTCACTGCGACAAGATGCACCAAAAGAAGATAATTTTAAAAAGTCCCAAAGCTAGTTTGCAACTGCAACCTTTCAGGAACAGGTTATTCCTAACTTCTAGCTGCTAACAAAGCTCGAGGGCTGGCGTGTCTCCAACACGTATCCCAGTCAGCACCCCGACACCGCAGGTGACATTTCTTTTTGGTCACTTCCATTTTCTAAACACCACATGGCACTTCCCTGAAGGAAGAAGCTGCGGACGGCAGGCCCACTGGTTGCGCTGGCCACACACACACCTCAGCTGACATGTTCCCTTCGTAGCGTTCATTTAAGCAGCACTGAAATGAAGTTTTCTGACAGCTGCCGACCTCGCCGCTCTGCAGTTACACCTCCCTCACTGGGTCTGTAGCTCTCCCCTCCTACTATCTCGAACAAGTGAATTGCGGGCAACGATTCAGCAACTGCTACGATGTTTTGCTTTAAAACACATTTCAAACATGCAATTCATTATATTTATTGCTCCTTAACAGACTGTCTCCAGTTGGCAAGCCTGCGATTCCCCTACAGATAAAGCTTCTTGCCAGACATACCTGACCCGCCCCTGGAGATTACGTTTCTGGTTTCAGCCATCACGAGCAGGACGGGGTAAATTCTGGCCTCTGCTCTGTCTTCCTGACTACGTTGCTGTGGGTGCCGCTGTCCAGCCAGCAGAAACGAAGTCAGGAACTAATACCCACTGAACTGACAGTCCTGGGTCAAGTCCAGGCGAATCACCCAGTCCTGCCCCCTCCCCTTACCTCTCAGCGATGGAATGGGCCATGTTCTTCAGCCTCTCCTTGTTTGACTGGGGAGTGCCGATCTGGGGAACGATGGGACTGAGGAGCTTGTTCATCAGTTCTAAAACTTTGTCTGGGTTCTGTTGGTATTGAAGTCACACACAAATATAAGGAGGGCTCTGTGTTTTAATGCCACTGCAGAAGTGGAAAGGCCTCATGCAGTGTGCCTAGTGCAAGCTCCAAGATGCCTCCCTCCCATCAAGAGTCAAGATCAGATTAGCCATGAGCAACACAATGCTGCTGGCTTGCGTGGAGAAGTAATTTTCCCTAATTTTCCTCTAAAGCAGTGGCTATGGTTGTATTTTCTTTATTTCAAATATATTTCAAAAGGAAGCAAGAGTGCTTACGCCAAAGCCCAACCGCTTTAGAGGTCAATTCAACATCTGTGCAATTGGAAGAGCACGTTCCAGGTAAATAACTTCACTACCCAGAACAAAATCATGCGTGGAGCGATCTCATCAGAAGACCACATTGATCAAGAACCAGGATGTCTTAAATCAGAATGGGATGGAGCACAACCCCTCTGGGTTTCCTCACTGACCTCCCTCTCTGTGCAGCCAATGGCTCTGCTTTAACAGCAGCAGAAATAAACTGCTTGAATAAGGGCAATTCAATCTCCAAGATGAAATTCAACCACCTAATCACAGGGAGAACATTTGGAAATAGCAAACCAAGTCCGTATTTAAGGCAGCACGTAGAAGATATTTACCTTTGCAAGGTCATAGAGTTTTGCAGCTTCTTCAAACAATCCTTTATTTTCTGCTGCAGAAGCCACTTTGTTAATTATGGGTTTGGTGTCGCTTGTAAACTTGTCTATCACTCCAGGCTAACGAGGTGAGACAAAAACAGAAGGAGAGAAGAGAAATCAGAATGCTTAAAAATTCCTGAATATTCTGTCAAGGCAATGAATATTTTACATGTTGGATTATGATTAGAATGGCCTGTACATTTCCATGGGAACGCACAAAAGGGACACGTTAAAAATAGAAAGAGCTCTTGTGAGAGAGACTTCCTCCAAAAGGGAATCAGCGCTGAGACATCTACAGTTTCCAATTCATTCAAAACGATCCAGATAACAGGTCAAATTCTAAGTTATTTTAATTGCTGGCGACACGTTACAGAGGAGAGGAAAACACAAAAGATCGCAGCACGTAACACGCTCGGGTCTCCAGGGGGGCTGCTGGTGCGTATCGCCACGGCAGGCTGCAAGTGAAATCGTACAGGGATAAATGAAAGTGTGACAAGAATTTTAAAAGCAACAATAAGCACAAATAGGAGAGGAAAGAGTCAGGGATATCTGGAAAGCATTTTGCTGTAGTTGAGGATGTAAAAATAAGACTATATCGTCTGGAAGAATTTCTTTCAAAGCGAGGGTGGCTGGTTTCATACCAAAGACACATGAGAATAGAGTCACATTTAAAAGGAACTGAGTGAAGTCAAGAGAACGGGATTCAGCACTAAGGGTATACTCTAAAAACCATCTTACAGAGAACTGTAACATGAAAACAGCTTTGTAAAGATTATTGCATTACCCTGCTCTCGTGTGTGCTATTAAACTGACAGAACAAAACCATCTAAAATAAAAAAATCCTGCCAGAAAGAACTACGGTTTTTGATTGTTTGGTTTTGTTTGGTTGGTTGGTTGGGTTTTTGTTGTTGTTGTTGGGGTTTTTTTTTTGGACAGTATGATCTGTAAGATTTAAATGATTCTGGAGTCTGCTTTACACAGAAAGCTGCCAAAGTTGCTGCAGCAAACAGAAACCTTCATTGATTATCTGAAAATTTTACCATTTGCATGCACTCTCCTCTTTTCAGGTGAAGCCTTAAGGTTTCCTTTATCTTCTGGCCATGTAAGCTCGCATTTTACTTTTAAATTATTGCTTTTACAGCAGAATTAAGATCCATCACAACTAAAAATGGCTGATCTTTGATCTGATACTTACCCTCATCTACATGGAGAGGACAGGTCAGTTGTGGCCATGCCCTTGCTCCCTTAATTACAAGAGTTTTTAATGGGCTGCAATACATTTCCCCTCGGAGGTGAACGAGGGCAATACCTCAGTCAGTCTCCACACGGACACCTCAGTTGGAACGATCTCACACTCACCTGCAAGCAAGCTATTTTTGCTAACTGCTTGTTACCAATGTGTATTAAATCCCATTCCCTACTCCAAAGACAAAATTCCAACCTCACTGCAGTTACCTGATGCCATTAGTTTCTTCAGCGACATCGGCTGCCTAGAGGGACATAGTCTGTCCTGTGCTTCCCGACCCACCTTCTGTTAGGGCATAGATCGCTCTGTGAAACGATCTCATACCCGGAGAACTCATATGTATTCCAACACAGCAATAATTTGGCTAGTAAAGACTAAAGAAAAGCAAGATAGCCTCATGGCTACTTTTGAAATCACACGTAAGTTTGTACTTTTTATGTAAAGCATAAATTGTCAACTCACCTTCCTACTACCATCATTCTCCAGCTTTCCAAGAATCATATCAAACTATATCCACACATGTGAAGTAAGAAAAAAGGAAACAAAAAACAGAGAGATGAATTGTATTTCACAACATATTCACTAAGTACAAAGATGAAAAGAATGAAACACAGTGATCGACATCAAAATTATTTATACATAATAGGCATAAGCCGTGATTAAGTATCTTAAACATACGGTCATTGCGAGATCTCCCGTCATCTAGGTGTACATCAGGCAGAAACAGTAAACAACTGTTTAAGACTGCTGGCTTAATAAAGATTTCAATGAAATACAGATTTCAGTTTAAGTGAGGAAGGCAAAACACAGCCCAACATACCTCTCTGCTTTCAATGACTAGTTCACTAATGCAACGCAAGAACATATTCTCTCCTTGGCTGTCCTTCTCATTCCTACAAAAGAAAGGGAAGGAGGAAGGTACTCGGGTTTCTGAGGACTTCCCAGATCAGAATAATTAAGCAGTACTAACTAGGAGAAAATAGAGAGACATACATTAGCTCCTACCTGAGAAAGTAAAAATACTGCAGAGCTTCCCTCGGATCCGTCGATTCAAACTTACGGGTGTAAAGCATCAAGAGCCGCACAAAGTTTAGACGCCTGACAGCAGGAGGGTCGCCAGCTTCGTGGCTTACTGCAACGTCAGAAACACAACTGTCAGAGAACCCAATGCCAGGGAACGGTGCCCTGATCTTCATCACAAATTAGTCAGAGCCATGACCCAGAGCTCTGATGCAACTAAACCAATTGACTTTGAGGAGACTGTTCTGATGAATGCTGCCTGTTCGATCGATTACACAGACTACAGGGTACTCTCAGGGCTCAGAAAACATTCTTTTATTGTAAAGTACATGTGCAGGACTTACATAGCTGTGCACTCTGCCCAGAAGATTTCAGGAGCAATTTTAACTCAAACAGGACCAAAGCAACATGAACAGCATGACAACGCAAGCGCTCTGTCCGGAAGAGAAAAGCGATTGCAGCTTCAAACTGTGCTGTCAAGAACAATACTTGGAAGTAGAGGAAAGGCTGCTGGTTCACTGCAAAATGTGATTCGCCTGAAAGAAACCACACCACAGACACAGAGCGTAAGTGAAAATGATTTTGCAGTCAGGTGACTGAGAGCGGATGCTTCCTGTCACAGAGCATCACTACTGCTTATTCAGTGCCCACCGAAACGAACACACGAGGCCAAACTGAACACCTCACCACACATCGGTGGCTTAACTATAACCATTCCGCTGCAAACATGTCATGAAAGACCACAGCATGAGAATGTATTCAGGAAGTGGAAGAGAATAAACAGTTACTCAAAAAAGCTTCCTTTGTTCTTTTCAGGCAACAAACCACCAACTCTCATGGGCTGCAAAGGATTCCCTACAGACCACAACGTTTTGTCTTCATTTATGCTTGTGCCAAGTGGTATAAATGTTAAAAATCTGGCTTTTCCTACTCGGTGAAACGAACAGTACCTTAATGTATTTCTTTTCCACACATTGCCCAGAGAAGCTGTGGATGCCCCATCCCTGGAAGTGTCCAAGGCCAGGCTGGATGAGGCTTGGAGCAACCTGGTCTAGTGGAAGGTGTCCCTGCCCATGGCAGGGGGGTTGGAACTGGATGGTCTTTAAGGCGCTTTCCGACCCAAACCATGCGGTGGTTCTATGATTTTTATCTTGATGTGAGTGATGCTACAAACTAGAAGGCTGTGGGGAATCAAATTCTGTACGGTTTGGATAGTCCAGGTGACCTCATTTTGACTGACTGGAAGATGATTATGAGAAAAGGTGTTCTCTTGGGCTGTGGATGTTCCTAAAATTTTCTGAAGTGGAAGGAACTGTGATTTGGGTCCCCAGAAAATTACTTGAAATAGTAATTTAAGGGAAACAATGAACAGTGGATGAACACAGAGAAAACCCTTGGATTTACATGCCGACATTACATACTGATTGCTTTTCTGTTCTGTATTCCAGAAGTTGGAAGTTTTCCTAAAAGACCTTACTGTATATATGGTGAGAGAAAGCAATCTGCAGTGTAGTGTGGATGAAGTACAAATAGCGGCAGGGTTGTTCGCAGATGAACATTCACTCTGCTGCTAGCCTTGTCCATCGTGTTGTACTGAAACCTGCTGTTACTGCAGGGAAGCAGGCTGCCCACGAGCTCCCTAAGGACGCCTGTCGCTGGCGGAGCACCGTAGGGTTTTATGTGGAGTCTGGGGTTTGTGTAGTAACAGTTGGGAAGTGCCCTAAGCAGAAAAGCAGAGCCCCAAGTAACACACGTCTGTGGTTTCTTACCGTAGTCTTCTAGCAGCTGCTTCTGGAACTGTGATAATGTTAGTCGGTCTTGTGGAGAACTTGCGCCATCGTCATCAAAACACACTTGGTTCAGCTAAAAAACACAACCAAAAGAAGAAGCACAGCTATTTCAACTCTGCCTTGCACAAGGGGTGTGCTCAGAAGATATTCGTTCCATCTGAAGCCCCTCCTAAGATTTGACCGATGGACTAGAAACCACTTCTAGTGACATAATCAGGTCCATCCATGGCTAGGAAGCAAAGTTCTCTAATGCAGCAGCACCAGAAATCCATGAAGTTGTAACCCAGGGGGGCTTTCGTATCTGTCCTTGCCACCAAACTCCGATGCTGGGACTCTGAATACTCACTAGGCAATAATTAAAAGCAGTATTTTTTTTATTCAGCCCTAAATACATCATTCTACTCCCTCTTCCTGATAAAGGAGAGAAATGGGTACTGACTAGTATCTACCATGCCCCCACCAAAACTGTAAGGACTCTGGACTACAGAGACATTGACAGTGCCACCTTCTGCCAACTGACACCAACATTTCAGCCACAATCCATCCAGAAAGGAAAATTCAAAGGAAACCCACTGGTGGAAGCTAACACTACACATAAGAAGAGCTGAGAAAGTTCAATGTCCAATGAAGAACATGACACTTCCAGAGACAAGTGTCCCCAGTGTAACACGGATAGTGCAGAGGGTAACGGAGCAGCCCCGGGACTCGGGTTCCCAGCCTTGCACTACCTGCAAGGTGAAGCCACATCTAGAAGCAGGGAGGTTAGCCGAGCAGAAGTGCAATACCGTTCAGATGTGTTCTTAAAATAAAAAGTAAACCCACCACCAACACAACCCCAACACCACACTCACTTTCAGCCAAAGATAATCTTCAGTTTTGTCAGCAACTTCGCTCTGGTTATCTGTGATGTCACAACGGCCAATAATACAGTAAACAGCCCTTTTGTAGGGGTCAGTGTTATTTCTCAGAGCTCGTCTGTAATGAAGACGCAGTTTATTTTCTGTGGCGGGAGACAGTCTAAGGGAAGACAAAAGATTGAAGGAAAAGACATGAAACCCACCTTTCCTGCTATGAGGAAACCTGGATACAAACCAATGGAAATAGGTGCATAATGACAGTAAGCACTGGCCAGTATTTCTTGTGTTTTCTATTTACACCTGTAGGTAAAAATTTTGCACAAATGCATTTAAACATATCGTTAAAGCTATGGAGGATCACCTTCAAATACCCATTGCAATAAATAAATAAATAAATGAAGAGATGACAGTCTCTTTAGGGGTGCATTGATGTTGTGGCAAATGAGCTATTTTTGTCTGACTCTGCCATTGCATCGTTTCAGAAAATGAGAGCTCAAAGTCGTACTTTAGGGGTGCATTGATGTTGTGGCAGATGAGGTATTTTTGTCTGACTCTGAGAGCTCAAAGTCATATGAACTCTTTGGCTTAGTAACCAAGAAGCAAGCAGGTCGTTGTACCATGAAGTCTTTTGGGAGAGACACTTTCATCTTTATCATTAAATACTGCCATAATGTTCTTTGTCATTGTAATTACGGTACCCTCTTCCCGAGACTTTCACAGAATTGAATCATGTTCTCCTAGAGTAAGACATGCTTGTCAAATCTGTTGGCAGAGTACTTTTCCATAGCTGTAATAAAAGCAAAATACATCAATGATACTGTATATCATTAAAGTGTTTGTAATGAAAACAACGACAGTAACTTCACTGAGGGTTCTGGAATAACCTTATTGTAATGAGCACTCCCACATAACCTCTGCAAACCAGTTAATTTACGGAAGAACAACAACATGTACACTACTGAGTAAATGGCACTTTGATTAATTCACTCTCAGTTCGGTTTCAGGACGTGCAAACCATTGCTCACATTCCCATACCTGAAGAGCCCCAGAACATTCAACATACTGCAGGATGAGGGCTTCCCCCCATACAAATGAAACTGCCACAGGTTGAGGTGGGATACTACAGGTTCACATCCTCGCACTTATTTGGGCCCTCCGGTTTCCCCCAGTTTCAGCCAGCGCCGTTCCCCCGAGGGGAGCACAGCCATAATGCAACAGCTGACCGTACACTTGTTAGAAATTCATGGCAAGTGGGAAGACAAACGAGATACCCTAAACCAGCACAGCAGAGCTCAGAGCACAGCCTGAGACGTACTAACTCAACCGCCTGCAACCACACTGTCAGCAGTTTGGCCGGTGGCCTCTGTCAAGCGATGGGTGGCAACAGCTGGAACTGGAGAATAAGCACAATAAAGGTGAGAGAGCGAATGCCTCTGAAGGCCTCTCACAAAAGCTACTTGCTTGTATTGTGTGGCATTCTTAGGAAAACAGGTGTAGTCAAAAGCATTCCCCAATGGAAATTCAACTAAAATAAGGAATGGGGGAAATAAAGACACAGGATTTGTGCCAGCAGACTAAATCTGATGTATTGTATGCCGTGTCCTGCTGCTACACTGGGCAGATCCTATGGCAAAAAGCAAAGCTACACCACTGTATTATTTTTACATTTTTGGCTATTTTCAAACAGCTCTTTCTCTACAGAGACTTCTAGACTTCAAAGGCACAGATTACAATATGCAAACTTCTTACACGCAATTTAGGTAGGTGATATAAACACCAGGCAGCCCTCACCAGCAGAACAGACCTGAGCTTCTTGTATTTCTACCAAGCCACGGCTTACACTGATTATTTCATTTCTCCACAGCAAATCCCACTCCTCCCAAAGATCTTTCCATGTTCCCAATTACCTTCTGTCCTTACTGTGCATGTACTCCTGGAACCAGGTTTTAAACTCTCCCAGCTGGTGCTGTGCCCGTTTCACCACATGCATGGCTGCAGTCAAATCTCCACAGCGTATGCAGTAGTAAATCAGTGCCCAGACAGGATGGCCTTCCACCTCACCGTCCTGAAAACAAAGTACCAAGTGATTAATTTTGTTTAAAAAGCAGCATATTTTAACTGAGTTTCTTTACCATTTGCCTCATCCATTATTCCTGCCCTCACACCCACAAACTGATTTTGGTGAAAAATTCAGTGGTCAAAGTACAAAAAAACATTTGTACTGAAAAACAGAGATACCAAACTAATCATGGATCTCAGCAGGTAAGAAAAGGACAGCCAGACTCAGTTGTGTGGCAAATGTTATAATTTATGATGATTTAATTTAATTTTTCAAGCCACCTACCTGTTTATCTGGTAATTTTGCAGGTGCACAGCTATGCACTTTGCACTATGTGCGGGTGAACAGGATTTTATTCAGATTCCTAAATAAAAGGCTCAGGCTACAATTCAGATTAATTCATTATATGTTTAGTCATCAACAACTGGTGTCACAGTGTTACAAGAAGTGTAAAAAAAAAGAAGAAAAAGCAAACCGGGCAGATTAAGTTACTGGTTTTTTGAAACATCATAATGTATTCAAACACTTGCTTGTTGACCTTGAAAAAGACCACCAGAAGAGACTGCAATTTGTGGAATTTAGAACTTATGCTACTGAGCCCCACCAGGGCTCGGGACCAGCTCTGAGCTCAAAAGGATTTTTTTTATCTTTCATTTTCCTAATGAAAAATTCTGGAAAAGGAATAAAAGCCTGCTCCCCTAAAAGCAGTTTAGACAATAAGAAAAATCACTGGAGGCTGCAGAAGCTCCCTGGCTGTGCTGGAGCAAACAGATTTGAGTCGTTATTTTAGCTCGGACGCTGAAGGTGACGGACGTACCTGGAGACCAGGGACAGGCGCAGGGAGTTTGATGTTCAAGAAGCTGCGGACCAGTTGGTAGGTCCCTGGGACTCCACCCAGCTGAGCCTGGTGCAAGTTTCCAAAGACTGTCACAAAGGTGTAGTTTTTGTAACTGAAAAGCAACACAAACCAAGCAAACCTGAACAGACTGATAGTTGCTACAAAAAACATTTGCTGCTTTTCAGATCCAACCGAATCAGCAATTTACAGCAAATTACCTTGATGTTCAAACATTATCATTACAACAAAATGAGACAAAAACTTGTGTCGATTTAGGAAGATCCTTGCATTGGCCAGTCTCCAGAGAAACCATGTTTGGAGTCTGTGGCACACCACGGCAGGTTCAGCTCTGTTATAAGGTTTCTCTCGTTAAGCTCTCTTAGTACTAAGTTAAACTCAGTTATGTAACTGGCAGAAAGCCTTTCCACCCTAATGCTTTAATTCTCAGTCACAAAAGAACAGTTAAACACCACAGATATGTTTGTCTCTCCTCCCTGCCTATAGACAAACACAAACTTCAGGGCCATGGACTTATCAGAAGGAAATCACAGAGAAAAAGGGAATTAGGAGAAAAAACAACAGGTAAAGGCAGCTTTGAGAACACCTGAAACAACCCATCAAAGCCTTTAATCAAGGCAGGTCCATTTAACAAATATTCATGTTTAGAAGCAGGAGTCTCGAAGGTCTGTACACTGAAGGAATACCTATACAAGCAGCAGCAATAAATTACATGAAGTTCTTTTTTTCCCCTGCAGCACACGACAGAACTGTGCACCACCAGACTGTAAAACTGACAGGCTATGCTGAACGTAGGCAAATATCAGTGTATCTTGATAACTAACATTATGGCTGAGTGAAGCACATGCCCCACAGGGCTGGAGATCACAGTTGCTCCAAAGCAACTACGGGAGAACGGCTTTGAGCAGCACTACATCCACCTCCTCGAACGTGTGAGGGGCTGGTGAGGGATGGAAACAGCCCACTTAGCAGTTCCTGCCAGGAAAGACACTACCAGCAACTGTCAGGGGCCAAGAAGAGGCTGTGCCAGGAGGCAAAACCATCTCTTCCCAACATGCTGCATCGAAGCACGTGGCACTTTCTGTGCTCAAATGCTGGACCCGTGTCCGTAACAAATGCCCATGCGCTACGCTGCAGCTACTGTCTGATCTGCACTGCTGAAGCAGGCTGCTGGCATCACATTGGCGACTGCTAGATAAGAGACACTGCAATATCCACGTGTGCAGCGAATGGGTAATAGGGCCATCCGGGGATTCAGCTCTGGGCTTTCTCCTACAACCGTTCTGTCTGCTAGATGTCTCAGCATCAGCCTCTGCAAATCTTACAAAAACCTTTCAGTGCGGAAATGGCACAATCAGAACCTGACTCACTGCACCAGATTTGTCCCCACTGCTGTCCTCGCTTCCTCCCAGCACTAGCTCCTGACCGTGATGAGCCATCAGAAAGGGAGGATAGAAAAGAGGTGTTTTTTTGCAGAGGAGGAATAGAACTCGTTCCACAAGTGAAAAGTCTTCACTTATCACTATGACAGACATAAAATACTTAAAGGCCAATACAGAAGCAAGAATAAAAGGTCTTTGCGTCTTCTCAACAACCTCCCCATAGATTCAGGGCCTTTTAAACTATAACAGCTTTTACCTAAAACAGTTTAATATTCAACTGGCCTAAGCCCTGCAGAACAGAAAAGACAGGCAGCAGACACTTCCCGTGAGCAGCAAGAGGTAGCTGCCTCGTTAGTATGTCTGCGTGGATTACAAAGTCATTCTGGCTCATTATTAGGGAGCTCTATTAAACTGTGCTCCCTGGAGCATTCACCTTACCTTTGCTCGAGGTAGCGCAGAGCCTGCCGCACAAACTCCATACGCACCTCCATGTTGGTCCGGACTTTCAAGGCGTCGCTGGCGGGAACCAGGGTAACATCGGTCATTTGTTTCACCATGGCCCACAGCTCAGAGACGTTCTATAAACAAGCCATTCCATGCCACAGTGATTAGTACAGAATGAACAAGCAATGCTGTTTGAGCGACATGGTGTTTTGATGCTTAAGAAAAGCATAAAAACACAAGAGTAATGTCAGCTTAGGTAATGGAGATACTGACTGACACAGTCATGGAGGTAAGGCACTTCTGTCACCCACAATTCAAATTTCCCAGGCTTCTCCACATAATTCTTGCACAAGATGATGGGTATAAATATTGTACCTGCAACTGTCACCCAGGATCGACAACGATTTACAAAACTAGGCTGGGTACTTTGTGCTCAGCCTCCTTCCCCATTTCCAGCTTTTACGTCCCACTCAGTAAATACCACAACATCAGCTTTCCATATAAGCAATTGCTCTGGCTGCCACTGGAAAGCTGTGCAATCAGCTGTGATGAGTAACGGCTACAGGATCACTTGGACAAAGACTCAGGTCTGGACAAAAACCAATGTTGAAAGCCATCCAGGTCTGCTCATCCAAAAGGACGAGATCGTATCAGCATATACTAGAGCATCCCTGCTGAAACAGCAAAATACTGAGTAGTAGCAGCACTGTTCGCTCCAGCAAGGGCAGGTGTTTGATCTCAGGGCTTCAAAGCAGCAAGAACGTTGAAACCCACCGCGTTGTCCCTAGCAAAAGGAAGAGAGCTGTTCAAAGCAAGGATGCATGTAATTCAGACCTGCCTGAAACATTTTCCCCTCAGCTTCTGAACAGCATTTTGCTCTCCCCATTTGCACACTGTTTCTCCTGCAGTATTCTCCCCCAAGCATTTCTTGATGGTGCCCGGGTTTGTGCATTTGTTTTTTCAGGGGTGGATCAAGGCAACACAATGAAAGGAGTGGGGAAGAAAAGCAAAGCAGGCAGATCATTGGTTTAAAGTCAATCCTAAGGGCTTCATGCTTTGCTGTGGGAGCCTACTTAGCTCTGGCAAGGTCTGACTGAAGACCCTTCACCTACAGCTAAATACATTCAAGGGTTATTAGGAGGCCACATTGTGAAAACCAAACACATTAGCACCCATTTAAAATGAAAAGCAATGTTTTTCCTTGATAGCTCATCACTCATGATGGGACACTGCAGTGAAAGCAGGTGCTTTTCTCCCTCCCTGTGTTAAGAAACATTCACCATGACAGGTTCATCAGAGGTGGGCCCTGCTGTACTAGAGGAGATTCCAGTATGTTTTCTGTGGAGCCATGCAATTTTTTGGGCCAGTATCGGTGTTTTTCCACCGATGTCAGCAGGTTGTTAGTCACAGCTGAAAACAGATTAAATATGTTTCCTTACGTTAACTCAGCAGTGGTACCTTATCATCCAGTTCTGCAACAGCACTGCAAAGGTCCACCAGGTTAGGCTGCAGATGTCCATTCACTATCTTCTCGTTATAAATATAAATCTGAAACATACCGGAAGTAAGCAAGTTTAACCTCAGATGTGACTCCCCGTCATCCTTGCCAGCCACAGCAGCAAAATCCGAACCATGCTTCAAGAACAGAGTGTCCCCAGCAAGCCCCTTCTGCTTCCCTCCCACATTAGCCGCTTCTAATCCAACACAAGAGGAACGGGCATCGGCACCAACTGCGCTTCCAGCACACGCCAAAGCTCCCGGCCTGCCTGAGACATCCCGCTGTTCAGGGGTCCTGCAAGGCAAAGCGCTGCACCGAATCCCCCGTCACACTAGCTGCAGCTAATGGTTGGAGGACAAAGATTCAGCAGAGACCTGACAACCGGATGGCTGTGATACTCCCCCACATGGCAGTCTCCTGCCTGCTGACATAAAAGAAACAGCTTTTTGCTGGTTTGTGGCAGTGTTCAGAGATGTCTGACGTGGGGAAATGAGAACAGAAACCTGGTCCTTCAAAACCTGCCCTTAAAAATACAGACACATGCATACCCTCGTTTTGATTTAAATCTTGCTCTTAATTTAGCTACTTCTACTATTGTTTATTCTACTCTCAGCCCAAAGCCCTTCCAGATTCCTCTGAAAATAATCATTCTCAACACTAGGAAGGCAAAGCCAGCGTACCTGAAGTCCCCTTTTTCTTGCATGCACTACTACTCCAACATGCCCAGCATGCAAACAAGATGCATAGCTCAGGATTGCTACCAGAATCTGGCACCAGTGAAATCACGTACATGGACTTCAGCGTGTTTCTGTGAAACAGTCTGAACTAGCCAAGAAGAACAATTAATCATTTCAGTGTAATTAAAGAACATTTTACGGCTGATAACCTGAAAGAGCATGGACTGCCTGATCCCCAGACTCCCCAGTGAAATCCGCAGCAGCCCCATGGCCAGCACAGAAACCCAGGTATTTCTGCACTCGGGCTGGGTGCCGCTGAGGACAGCTCAGCCGGGCCAGCTTCTCCAGAGGGCTTGCTCGGGAGCACGCGGTGACTGCACCAAGTGTTTTGGTGGCAGAAGCCTGGCACAACCTGCCACAGCACATGGCAAGCAGCCTGCACACAGCCTGCAAAGCTGCCGAGAGCCCCCTGCCTACTCGTGATGCTGTGACTCTGCAGCCACCCCTGGTACTAGCACTGCTAGAGAGGTTGAGTTTGCCATACTCACAAAACAGGTAACAACGCCATCAGCCTCAAAGTAAGCATATAATTAAGCTGCAAGGAAGATCCTTAAGACAGGAATATTACACTGGAGATTTAATTAATGTACTAAATGGAAAGGACACTTTATCAGCACAACCACGCACCTTCTTCTGTGATTCCTTTCTTCAGTTACCCTAACTGAAGGCACACACAGAGCGCCAGATGTACATGCTGCTCCCTGGCTCAGCAAAGCCCGAGCCAACGCATACAATCAGAGTAATTGTGTGCAAATTAGGCAACGCTTTGTCTCCGTAGTTTTATGTATTCGTTTTGAAAAATCAAGGCCTTCTCCTTCATTCCGTTTCCAACAGTGCTGGTAAACAGATCGTATCAAATAACAGAAGTAACAAATTGGGTATGCAAAGGTTTATCAGTGTTCCCTGAAAGTTTTTAGAGGGAGTCTAATGCCACCAGACATTTTAATTCATAGCTGATGCACTACAGCTTCTCCTAAGCAATGAATCACAGAATGGCTTGGGTTGGAAGGGACCTTAAAGATCATCCAGTTCCAACCCCCCTGCCATGGGCAGGGACACCTTGCACTAGACCAGGTTGCTCAAAGCCTCATCCAGCCTGGCCTTGAACACTTCCAGGGAGGGGGCATCCACAGCTTCTCTGGGCAACCTGTGCCAGCGCCTCCCCACCCTCTCCGGGAAGAATTTCTTCCTGATATCTAATCTAAACCTCCCCACTTTCAATTTAAACCCGTTGCCCCTTGTCCTGTCACTACAGGCCCTTGTAAAAAGCCCCCCCCAGCTTCCTTGTAGCCCCTTCAGGCACTGGAAGGTGCTATAAGGTCTCCCTGAAGCCTTCTCTTCTCCAGGCTGAACAAGCCCAATTCTCACAGACAAACATCAGGATTAAGACTTCAGCAGGTGTTTTCCTACATGCACACATCTGAGATGTGATCTTCCACACGTGAGAACATAAGGAACGTAGAGTCTCGAGTGGCGTACTATTACACTTTCACATGAATTCTAATAAAACCTTTCTTTGAAAGGTTAAAAGAGTTTCAGTTTATTATGCGAGCATAAATGACTCCTATAGTCATATATGGTATTCCAGATCTCCTTCCAACAAAAAAAATCCTGTAGCAGACAGATTGAGTACACTTCTAAAAAAAAAATCGGACTAAATTTCCAGATTTTCTTAAAGGTCCCTTCCCACCCAAACCATTCCATGATTTTCCAATTGCATTTTAACCACAGGCAGAGGTTTTTACGTTTTACCTGCCACATCTTCTTACGCCACCACGCTCACAGATCTTTAATTTCCCCACCTCTCGCTCTGTAGAAAACAACGTGTGACTATGTTTTCTTGTCTCCACTCACCTGCCTGGCGTACACCATCTCCACGTTGTCCAAAGAGCTGCGACCTGGAGGGCCCAGCTCATCAACGTAGCTAGGCTGGTGAACGAGAAGCGTATAAGAAGGTGTAAGGTATAAAATTAACACAACACGTTTCACCAATGCACCTACTCCTAAAGAACGACGGCAAACCCACGTTCCTGGCAGAACTAAGAACGGGGGTTTGGACTAGCTACAGTGTAAAATGCACAGTCTCATTGCAATACCCTATTATCTTCCCAATATAGCTTAAACTTTCTAAAGTGACAGAAATCCTCCTTATTCAGTGCACAAACCAACAATTAGCTCTCTAGAATTAGGGCAGCAGTGTCTCCCGATAGCATCTTATAATCTGAATTCTTTCCTTTTGTTTCTTGAAAGGTTGCTTATTGTCATGTAAGAATCTCGCTGTGAAGCATCTAGTCTGAATCTCCATCATTTTCAGCTCCATGGATCCAGTATAGCAAGGCTGACACTCCAGCTTTGTCCTAGTGCTGTGACACCGCCACAGAACGTGACTGCAGCGCTCAGTTAGCTGCCAAGAAGTGCCCCATTGCTGGTCAGCTGCAGAAGGAAGGAGGATGCTGGCAATACACTGACCTGAAAAAAAATCATCTTCCTACGCAGAGAGGCTATGTCAAGACTGAGATATTTCCAGTGCAGAGAGACAGCAGGTGGAGTCAGGCACGGAAAATCTGTAATCTTTTATAAAAGCTGAAATGTAATAGTGACCTAATATCCTAATGCCACATAAAGCTATGCTTGTAAGTGTCCACTATGAATCACAGGTATGCTGTCAGTACAGCCACTACTGAACACGGATGTTCACCTCTCAAGGGGAAAGAATATTCCTAATTAAGTTTGTAATATGCTCCACTGTTTCCTGCTTCCTGAAAATGTAATTCTTCACTTCAGCATTAGCAATGCAAGTCTCACGTTTGAACAAGAAAGTGCAACCATTTTAAACACAGGTGACTTTGAGGTAAGCAGTCTTTTAAAATCAGCTGCTTCATAAGGGGTGCTACAGCCATGACGATCTGAAGATAAAAGCAAGACAAGCTCAGTATAGAAGCAGAATATTTATTATGAGGCCAAGTGACATAGTTGGAGGAAGCACAGAGGAACAAACAAGCTTTCAGAGAAGCAAGCATGTGTTCAGGTCTGAAGCTGAAACAACAGCTTTTCAATGTCAGACTCTGAACTCAAAAGCTCATCTGACTCCCCCAGGTATAGCTGGTCTGGTAACAGACGGTGCCTCTCCGCACAAGCCTTGCTCAGCTTACTTCAGGGGTCCTTGGGTGGCTGTGAGGATGGAAGATGGCTGTTTACTTCCACCAGGAGAGAGGATGCAAAGCACGTAGCTAAATACTGAAAGCAGCTGTAAGCAAACACTGAGATGGGGCCTTGCTGTGCCTTGGTTTGTTACCAGGTAACTCAAGTCCATCTAATATTCCTCTAAACTGGAATCAGTAACTTTTTCTGAGAAAAAGGAGGTGCATCTGCAGTTTTAAAATTAAGCTTTTTACGCTGGCAGTCGGTTATGCTGGCTGCCCATCCTCAGGAGCTGTTACGCTGCACCTCAGCAGGACTGTCAAACAGCTTTACTTTTCCTACATCAGCCACCCAGCAGGTCAGTACGCTGACGTATAGGTGGGATCACCCTCAAGTGTTGCTTAAGGACACGTTCTAGTCTTCCCCGGAAGAGTTCAGTTAAACGTGACTGACTCACTGCCCATACGAACAGACAACAAAGCCCTAATGCCAGGGAGAGATCACGGTGTTCACTTTCAGTTTACACCAGCTCTGGAGTTCAGCTTTGCTGACAGCTGTCAGGCCGCAGCAGGGCCGGACAACGCTCCTGCCACGACCTGGACTTCAGGAAAAGATGCGGGAAATGGGTAGCTGTTCCCCAGATGGTGTCAGCCCTCAGTTTCTTGTTTCAAATGAGGATGAAACGCTGACAGGACAAGAGTCTCACTTTTTGGGAACTGTATCCCAACTCTGAAATGAAATAACACAAATGTGAACTTCCAGACATGTCACTGATCAGTCTACGTACTAACGCTGTCTCAGTCATTCCCAAAATGCTTCCAATTTTAATTTGGTATCAGTTTAACCCAGGTTCTCTTCCATGCTCCTCCCTTAGGAGTCCACGAGCTTGCAGAGACAATGACGATCCACTGTCCTACTCCAGGAGTTCTGAGCAGAAGATGTGAAGACCTGTAAAGTGACACAACAACAGTGGCCAAGGATGCCATGCTGAGTTCACTAGGAATCCACATGTGACAATGAGCGTGTCCATCTCTATTGAAAAAACAGTAACTCTGTGTATTTGTGATTTCTGTTTTCAGTGTAGCATGCAACAGTTCATTACAGAATGAAAAATACCAGGTTGTGTTTGTCCCTGATACAGTGAAATATAAATGAATGAAGGTATCAAGGTGAACCTGGACAATTCCTTAAAATGGCTGGATTTAGTTTATCACTGCTTTAATTTCTCAATAGTGCAACCTAAATCATGTCCTAGGGGGTTATAAAATCAGGCAGATGCATTTACACCTTAGGCAGCATAAAAATGCCTTATCAAAAACCCAGAAGAAAGCCCACTTTTTCTTTTTGCAGCCGAACTCACACTAAAAACACTCTTCACAGTCACTCCTAATGGATACTGATATTCAGCAGCATTTGCATTTTTCTCTCAGTGCCAAATCATCTGACACAAATTCCTTTAAACCCACCTAAAAACCGACAAATTCTTTGTTCTAAAGAACAAAGAAGCTGTTAAAGCAGGTTTCCCGGGAAACAGACACGATGGCAGAAATAGCGCTTTGCAGCCTTGCCCTACGCTGTGCCAGATAAATTGCAGAGTTATTTAAAGTAATGCTAAATTATGGACGTTGTCATTAATTACTGATGAGGTTTCATCTTCAAAAGCAAGTGACAAAAAAGTACGTTGTGACTTAGTGTCACTTTTCAACCAGTGCCCAAACACCAGAAACGTAAGGACTGGGGCTTTGTTTTGTGAATCTGGTTCCTTTTTCTCCTGCTGCTTTGCAGCACCAAAGAGCATCCACGTGGCTGCCACTCTGGAGAGCGGTGTACGACTGACAGGTTAAAACCCACAGGTAAGGAGCTGAATTCAAAATGCACGCCTGAAACGAAGAAATCACTGCTCTGGGGGTTGGGGTTTTTTTCCTTTCCTTCCTCCAATTGTAGTTTTACCCTCACCATTACGTTTTGAGGATCACTTATTAACAATATGCCACAGCGAAATTAAATTCTTTAAATGCTCACTACTGACTTGCCACTTCAGCAAGGACAAAATTCAGGAATTCCAGAATTTGTCTTGCTTTTCACTCCTATGCCAAGACATGGGAACAAGCTTTTTTTTTTTTGCTTTTTCCCCCCCCATCTCACACTTACATTCTGGCTTCATCTTTGAATTATTAAACTTGAAAAAGCACTAGCTCATGGCTCATGAACTCTCTCGTGGCTGTGCTGAAAGGAAATTTCAAAAGGAAAACTGCAGCAGTGAGTCAGCGTGGGGAAAGCCGTTTCCACTCTTCACCCCGAATTGCAGAGCTGGAGAGCTGCGCAGGCAATCCTTCCGTAGCTGGTACCGGCGTCTGAAAAGGCATCCCCTGTGAGGTACGGCAGGGGGATTTGGGAAGGGGAAGGATATCCTTTGGTGGCAAGTCAGAACTTAGCAAGTTTTCAAGCAGGAAAAGATTATGCAAGATGTGTTGAAAACAGCAGCACACAAGAACGACCGTGTTCCAGGTCAGGTCCTTAAGCTTAACTGGAGCAGTGAAAGGAAAACCAGGAGCATGGGTAACGCGTAAAGGACTGCCGAAGCGCAAGCAGGCACACACACACGCCCTTCTGCATCTCCGGTCTGATACTGGGCTATAAAACCAGCACAAGCTGTTAAAGCATGTCTGCTTCTCCCTGTCCTGAATTCCACTTTCCAAAACGTTCCTCAGAACTGCAACGTTTATTCTGTATGTTATCCATTCGCACAAGCTGCACGGCACTACGTCGCGTTCTTATCCTTTAAATCCATTTAGCCTAACACCGCCGCTTCTCAAAGGAGTCCTCCTTCATTTGTACTCAGCCGAGCAGGAGCCTGACTCGCACGCCAGCCCGCGTGCATGGATGCATTATTCATCCCCCCGTGAGCATATGCACATTCCTCAGCACAAGTCTGGGCAGACATTTTGTCAGCACTCCAAACGGCTTGGCCGGGAGATGCGGCGAGTAACTAGGCAGGAGACTGAGCTGGAGAAACACCATCCGAAATCTGCCGCCGTGCAGCGGGGAAGCAGAGAGCATCTCGCGGTCCTCGGGATTTAAGGGATACGAAGACACGGCACAGAGGGGCAGAGCACAAACCGAGTGTGGCAGTGCCTCTGTCACTGTGGGAGTGGGTTGCTTGACAGCGGGAATGGAAGAGCTTGGGGTGGGGGTGGAAGAAAAAAAACCTGGATGACAGGAGGTCAGAAGAAATGCCGCAGCACCTAGTGGAACAAGACCTGGAACACTGCAAGAGCATAAGTGCTTGATACCTTGAAAACAAACCCGGGTTTTTCCCTCCTTTTCCCCAAGAAACACCCTTTCTTTTTTTTTTATCATGAGTTCTGCTTTTCCCTTACAGGAAGGGGCTAGGCTGGAGGAAAAGGGGGACCAGAAAACCCTAACGGCAAGTCCTGTGCTAGCTTCTTTGAATCATGAGCTTTGCCTGTTAATTGGTCTTATTTCCATGAATAATGTGTTGGTATTTCACTCTGCCCAAATTAGCTTGCCCAAAGCTTCAGAATTGGCTCACAGGCAGACCGGCCCCCTGCTGCGTTTGGATCTGTGCCTTTTCAGTTGATTCTCCATCTCCAGAGGATATCAATTAAACCTCTACTATATTCTACAGGCTGTGTCTGTTTGTGTCACACGCACACAAAAAACTTATTTGACTGGAACAAGGCTTTAGAAGAACAACCTGCTGTGGGGAGGTTGGATAACAGGCTTTTAACACAGTAGATGCACTTCAAACCTCTCAGACCTTTGACTTCTTGAGGCTAAGACTAGAATATATCAAGGATTTTAAATGCTCTTGAAATGACACACTGATACTACGAGTGCTTTGAAACAGAGAGTGGAGTATTACTGAGTGATAGTGTATACTGAGTCTTTAAACTCATTCACGAAAAACATTAGAGGGTTTTTTCACCCCCCTCTCCTCCCTCCCACCTACATGATGCTTGGTATCTCGAGTGCCATGGACTAGGGTAGTGCCCATTTCCCACTGAAACAGCAGAAAAGGGGTTTTAACTTGTCAAAGTAGGTTATTAAATTGCTTTTCGTAGCAGTCAATATTCATACTTTGAAAGAAGACCCCACACCAGTCACACACAAATCAAAGACACTAGAAGCTATCAGAATAGCTGCCAAGTCTTCAGACTCACAGCCTAAAATAATGGGATAGCTGTTCCCAGTTTTAAATTAAATTCAGCCTGCATTATTTAGCGTTTCTAATATTGGAAAGCTGCACAACCTTCTGAGAAGTCACAGTAAAGTATCAGTAAAATACTTTCTGGGGAAGATAGCTTCCATAAAAAGATGTATGCTAACTGGGATTAACCTATATTTAAAAGAACAGTAATCAGAAAAGGACATTCATTAGCAACTTTAATTATTTCCAAATCCCTATACAGGTCATACCCCATTAACACCAAGGGCTTTTTTTACTTTAATGCACTTTGCAGCTGTACAAGTGGGTCTGATGAAGAAGAATTTATGAAAAAACAAAAATCAATGACCAAACAAAAATAAAGGGCAGAGCGAGCAGAAAGGAACACTGCTATAAAAACTTGTGCCTGTGTACTGGCCTCAAAGTGCCAAAACTTGCATTCCCCCACCCTTACCACCTTTCTCCTCTCAAGGTTACAATTTTCACAGAGCATCATGCAGGGCCTGTGATGTAACCTTGCTCTGGGGGGATTTCAGCTGGTGTCTGACGCCTCTAGCTCAGGTGGAGCGCCCGCAGCTCTGCGCGTAACTGTGATTTACTCCAGTTGTGTAACTGGAGCATTTTCCTTAACAGGATATGTTTTTTTCGTTACAGGTTGCTAGTCGATACCTCTGCATGTTAAACACGAGGTCTGTCTTGCCTGAAGGATTTGGCTACTTGAATTGATGAACACAAGATGTCTCAGAGGCACAAAACTTGAACCTGCATTCCACAAGAGCACAAGCTAAAAAGGAAAACATACTCCCCTCTTTTTTGTTGTTGAATATTCACTTGGTTTTGCCAAGAAACCTGAAGACTTCATCAGCCTCCCAAGAAAAGCTATAAATCCTTTCTAGGACATTGTGATAAGGGACACGGACACGCCAAGACCTACGCGTGAGCATCGTTACACCTGAGAAACTGCCTGGTCTCATCAGCGCTGCAAAGGTTTCCTGCAGGTGAAGTTCACCCTAACGTGTTTTCTGTCCCCTGGGTGTGCTGATGGGATACGCATCCCTGTGACTTTAGACTTCCAGCTTGTACGTACGTCACTTAAAACGCAGCTTCGGCAACAGAGCTCCGCTGCCCGTACCCACCAGTCAATAAAAACACTGACAGAAGGTTTGATCCTCCCTCCGCTAGACAATGCACTCTGCTAGTCGCAGCCCTTCTGGAATTAGAGAGATCTGGTATTTCTCATTTTCACACGGTTGTAGCTACAGAATAATCCAGAGGCCGTTTCAGCAGTGCTGGAGTGCCGGTTGCATACCTGCTGTGCATGACTACGTACAGTGCTCAGAAAGACAGAGTTACCTCATTTTCCTGGGTGAAATCGAGAGCGTCTTCCCCTGATGCAAGCAGAGTATGAAGAATTCTCTGTTTCACCTGTTCCCATTCAACCAGCATCGATTCTCGGTGATACTCCTCAGCCATAGCAAAAGTCTGTTGGTGAAGGACAAGAGCTCAGGCACATACAGAAACACCAAACAGTCTGTTAATAGACCAGCTCAAGAATGAAACAGAAAATAGCAACTAGATAAATCAACCAGGTCAGCCCTCAAGAGCTAAGGATGTGCTGCACAGTATTTTAATAAGCTTCCTCTTCAGGTACAAGGGGATTCAGAAAGCGGGTGCATGTGGAATGAAGACAACTCTCACATATCCAGCTGGTAAAACAGGGAATCTGTGTCTCTTCCATGGTACTGCAATACACACAAAAACTTAGCAGGCTGGAAATCGATAGACTTTTTTCTTTCATTTAGCAGCATGGAGACAATATCCACTGATCCGCGTGGTTTGTCGGGACTAACTTCTCTAACGGCAACTAGCTTTTCGCCTCCCTGGAGACTACAAAGGTTTGACTTACTGCATTCCTGAGACTGTGCTGATTGCCCGTATTTCATTTTCAGGTCTTTGCCAGGGTGTTTTTTCTTTTAAATGAGAAATAGGATAAAATCAAAATAAAAGTAGGACGGAAAATTAACCAGTGCCCAAGAATCACAAAGCCTCTCTCATCAGGATTGTAACTCTCATGTAGGAAATCATATTCCAACACTCTTTTACCTTTAAAATGGCTAGTGTGCTACACTGTCTTCAGATCCAACTGGAGAACTCATGGAAGGAAACAGCTTTTCCCTCAGTAGCCTTTATTTTGGCAACAGCATTAGCGTAGAGAAGATGCTCCACCACCTTTCCTGCTGCCATTGGGGTGACGCCAGCTAGCAGCTGTGACTATACCGGGACAGGACGTAAGAATATTCCCACTAATCCTAACAGAGAATAAGCTATATTGGGTCTTCCACTTCCTTCTCGCTCCCAGCCTTCTGTCTTTCAGATAGCTTTGTGCTGCAGCATACGTAACTGTGTGTCACGGTTGGATGAGTAAGATTTCCATCTCCTTACAGCCCACTGTTAGGATATTGTCAATTAAGGGGCAAAACACTGAATGAATTGGTAAGAGGCAGTGACATTTGGCAAATATTTAATTATGGTGCACGCATGTAACAAGAGCACAAGATGTGTGTTTCTTTGGTTTATTATATAAATTCACTATTATACTTTCATGGTAGAATGTAGGTCTTATCCTTACCTTCATTACAATAATTTCAACAGGGTTTTAAATATGCTTCAATAATTGCAGTATAATTATATGTAATTAAAATAATTTAATAAGGCTTCAGTCCTATTTCTTATCATTTGAAAGAAACATAGGCTCAGTTGTAAGCCTGCTGCCCCAAGTGTACACGTAGGGAAACAACCGTTAACATAAGCACCAGGAAGCACGCAGTGACATTTCCAAGCAGCAGTTTTCCGATGAACAACAGGAAGCATTTTTCCACACTGCATAATTCAATTGTGGAAATCACTGCCCCGGAACATGACAGATACCAAAAGCATAAATAGATTCAGAGACAGGATCAGATGAATTTCACATCAGAAGACAACTTGCAGCTCAGAAAAATCTTCAAAACAACTACTTGCTTGGAGATGAAGAGACAGGAGATGACGGGGAAGGCTAACTGTCTTTTTTCCTTACTGACTGTCTACGTACTGGTCCCCTTCAAGGGAAGGAAGCTGGACTGGGCAAACCCTGAGCCTAAGTGACAACTCTTACTTGCTTAGCGTAGCATCTGCCCTCGTGCTACTTCAAAAGCCTTTGTTTTTTATATTTATATGAGAAATTTCCTTTTGACAACAGGATACAGTGTGGTGTTCTGGCTCTTCTCCAGACACGAGAATTAAACTTTGCAGCGTTTTGGGCCTGAATGTGTCCGTACACACTTGCACAACTCTGGTAACCTGAAGAAACAGCTACAATAAATATGTGGAGTGTCAGCACTGTATGGGAAGTCAGTGCACAGGGTGTTTCTCAGAGCAAAAAAGGAAATAAACCCCAAGTCCTAGGCATTATCACCTCCAGAAAAGGCAGCACCTGTGCGGAGAGGGCTGGAGCGAGTGTGCTGTGCCTTACAAGCAACAGCTGCTCTGTTCAAACAGATTTAACATGGTGAGCCTCCTCAGCCCACAAAACACTGCAGTCATAATACAGCTGTCAAGTATTTCTTCTGGAAATTCTAAGAAAGTATTTCCTAATGTCTGATGTTTCTATATTCTCAACAGTCCTCTTAAATTCCACTAGTTTATTAAATACCTGATTATTCATTCCTTAGGGGCACCCCTTCCTTTTTTATTTTAAAGGAAAAAATAGTCCTTGCTTCCAACTTACCCTCTTCCTGGACTCTTCAATGGCTGACAGCAACGCATTATCTTTTTCATTCTTCAGGAATCCCTGCAGAAAAGGAGAAACAGAGCTTCAGTCAAAAAGTCAGCCTTGCACTACTGACACATACTTATTGCAGTACTCAGGTCTTTCAGCTCTGAGAAGTGCTCAGAGCTTTCTCCCCAGTCCACTCCCAAGAAGTTTAAAGGTCACTTTACTTTGCCAGAGGTACAGCAAAATGCCCATACAGAGCAATGTAAAAATGAAAATGCATTAATCCCCTGTTTTAATATGCATTAAATCCTAGTGAAATGCCCTGCTTCTATTCTCTTTTATCTCTCTGTCCCAGCAACTGCTTCCACTTGCTCTCCATTTGAGGGAGCTAGGATGAAAGCTGGTAGGAGTGATAAGCAAAGATAAGATTGTTGGACTTGAGTATGTTGAGGAAAAAAAAAAAAAAAAAGGGTTTTGACTTGGCAGCTTCAGGCAGGAGTGGAGCTCTTGAAGGCCTGATAGGAACTGTGAAAGACAGCCTTAAAAATAGTCAGTTAAGGAAGGATGGAAATAACTAAGCAGTTGGAAAGCATACAAGAAAAGTTTACTGCACAGACTCTCTCCATGCATACAGCTGGAGTGGGTAAAAAATCATACATCTTTGTAATTTTCAGTACATCAGTTATTTCAAAGAGGTCAGGTGTACATGAGCAGACTGATTTAGGTGAGCTGTAGCTCCTTATCCCAAAGGTTACTTTCATGACCCATACTAGGAAACTTTGAATTTTAAACAAATAGCCATGGGGTCAGCTGCAGTAACACACAGACAACAAACAGGAAACATTTATTACACCCTAACTTGAATAGCTTTATTTTGCATTTTCACTGTTAGATCACCAATTAAACAAACCAAGTTGATTTGACTCCAAGACTTCAACTTAATCATTATTCAGATGATAAAGAAAGCCTTTGTCTCCCTCTGAAGTAACCAACTATAACGTTCTCAATTCCATTAAGTGTAATATCTTAAGGTGAGTCTGCATGCTCACTCCACAGCTCTAAAATTGAGACACGCAAACCCAGGGAGTGGAAATCCAGTGTACCATGGTTTTACAAGGATACACAGTCACAGCAGTGTCTGACTGAACTTCTCCGGAATCAGGAGGCTTTCATGCCCTTTGTTCCTCACACCTTCCTGCAAATAAATGGTTCCTGCCCCAACACTTCGACGGTATCTGTATTGATCCATACAACCTAGGTAGAGCTCCGGATCTCGGGAAGAGAATGGATCCTGCTGTAGGACAGAAATCTGTTGTCACAGGGATTTGGACCTCTGCAAAAATGTCTTTACAGTCTTAGAAACAGTCCTGCAGTGGCAGTACATGCAACCACAGGTATCACAGATTGCTACTCAGCTCTGGGAGAGGAGGAGAGTTTGAAGTCTCCCCACACTGAAGAAATCTGGCATGAAACTCTGCTGAACAGGGGTGCTGTCCTGCTAGCTGGTACCCGTGTGTGACAAACGGCATTGCTCCCTTTCCTTCCGGAAGATGTAGAACAGGCTTTCAAGGTCTGGGACAGCTTGTGATCCCCTTCAGCTGGAAATCAGAACGTGACCCTTTTCTGAACACCAGAGAATGAGCTGCCATCCTCTGAGAGAGACATGTGCCGCGTCCTCCACAGAAACAGGCCTGGAATTACACGCAGAAGAGAGCAGCCCCTTCTACACAGCCTATGCTTCATTCCATCGCCCGCCATATCCCGCTTTATTTTTAGACAATGCCCACAGAGAAAGCACAGTTAAAATCTGAAAAAGGGAGGCTAAATCCAGATCCTTGCACAAGTCTGGGGACCAGCTATTACAGCAGCTGTCACCCAAGACAAGGGCTGCCGCAGTCACCTAACGGGGCCAAGACATGAGCTCGGCTCCGTGCAGGAGGGATGGAGACATGGCTTTGTAATGTTTGTCCATGGCTGCAAGGACTTTGGGAGGGCAACAAGTGGAGGGTTGGGGTTTTTATTTCCCTGCCACCAACCTAAAGATGAGAAAAATTACCTGGAATTATAACAAGCAGTGCTTCTAGACCTTGGAAGCACACACCAACATACAAGCCACACTGCTGATGGTGGGGATCTGATGCTGCAGAAAACACTGCGCATTCGCTGTATCCTAACAACACTGCTAATGTTACAGGCGATACAAGCCCACTGTCCCCCAGGCGCAGGCCTATAGGTGTCTGGATGCGATGGAAGGTGCTGAGCACCCAGAGCAGGCACCACAGCTTGCGGAGGTCCTGGCTGCCCTGGCTCCCTGCTTGCTCTGCAAGCGCCAGGCTCCTGAAAGCTCCCTTCTCCTTGCAGGGACGTCTCCCTGAGCTGAGCAGGTACCTGCCTAGAAAGCTACACAGCAATGATGGCAATTGGCAGAGTAATTTAAGATGTGCTTGAATTTCCCTTGAAGTCAGTAAATCCAGACTGAGTATCTTTCTTAACAAAACCTCCCAGCTCCCAGAGAGTTCACCAGGTCCATTTAAGGCATTGCATTACACGGAATGCCAATTAGGGCATGATTATTGTCTTTCTCCATCACAAAAACTACTCCTTTAACAAATGAAAACCTTCACACATTCAAGATAATACCTGTAATGCCATGCTGAGAAGAGGTACCTTTTATAAAGGTCACCCCATGCCTTGGGCTAAAGTTATGCCTGTAGCATGACAATTGCTGCTTCAGTTAAGTACAGGCTAATTGTTAAACCTCAGAAGAGGGAGTTTCAGCAGCTGAGGCTGGGACTCCTGCTACTGCTCATGAGACCGCTTCTGCTTAGTTAGGCCAAACGAGAGCTCCTGGGGTTGTCACTCTAAGCTTTGGTGGCCAAAATGTCACATGTTAAGAAAGCAGGGAGCATCCGGCTGCTCCAAGATACGCATTGCCTGGGTTTATTCCATTGCCACCTAGTGGCATGCTGTGCTGGACGTACCGATGTCACAGATGTATATAAATGCACATAAGCTCTCTCTCTGGAACAAGGGTGGGCAGAAAGCTGGCAGAGATGTGCTTCACACTAGAGAATTTGGGTGCTGAAAAATCCCAGCTTTAAGGGTTCACCTATCTCTTACGTTCAGGCCTCGAACAGTGCCAGTTGTGCTCACCGCGTTACATCTGCCCTAAAAGCTTTCTTGCAATCCCCGAGGCAAGGTTTGACTTTGCCACGAACGCTTGCAGGCTGTAACAAGGATACGGAGGTACGGTGTTCAGCACGCACAGGGAGTACACGACCCACATCGCAGGAGCTGCCCTCTCCAGGGGAGATGCTACTGGTTGTACAACGAGCAACGAGACGCCGCTTCATATTCAGTATCCGAAGAGAGAAGCCGGAGGAGAACAAAGATATTGTTAAAAGACAAAGGGCTGTTTCACAGCAGCAGATGGCGGAGATAGGAATAGCTAACACAAGCATCGCTAAAACCTTGGAGGTGAAACCCTCACCTTGCAGCTCTCGGTGCACAAGCTCTGCCACTGCAGGGATCCCAAGGCAGCCTGGATTTTTGCTTGAAAAGGAAAATCGATCTTCTTTCCCTGAGGCAGGTTTATGCAAAAAGCTCACAGAGCCCTAATGTCACATCATGCTGTCCTGCTTCAGTGAGTGGCATTTAATTTTCCTCTCTGTTACTGTGGGACTCCCACACACCCTTCCAGCGTCAAGTTGGGAAGAGAAGCGGCACAACGCTTCATCACAGGCTCTCCGCACCACTCGCTGCCGAGTTTCCTGCACTAGGACTGTACGCTATCTGGTGAGCTAGATGATGAGAATGTTTGCACAACAGGGACACAGGCATAGAAACACACCCACTTCCCACCTTCAGGTTCCTATTTTCCAGCTGGTCCCACTTATTCTTGCACATCTAACGGCTCTCAGCATCCTTCCCCGGCGTGTTCCAGTTCCTCTTGGATCTCTTACCCCTTGGATTCCATGCTGATTTTCTCACGTCCTCCCCCCTCTGCCTCACTCAAGGATGGTTTGAAGAAGTGGCCCCAGAAGCGGATGGGTAAGAGTGCTGGGAGGCCGTGCTGTTTCCCTGTTCTCGCCATGCTTCTTGCTCCACTGTCATTTCTCATCTCAGGCAACCGCTGCCTGACACAGGCTGATGTGACAGGAACCGGCACCTGTCTTGCTCCAGCCTGAATTCCAGCAAGTAAGCGTTTCAGTAACTAATTCATTATCGGTATGAAAGGGCATGTGTGCACTGATGGTCTCTTTTTGACAGGAGATTGAAAGTCTCTTCCATTTACCACAGTAAATGAGGTTAGTAAACTCTCTCCTGGCTGATAGAAGTCTCCTAATTACTTCCATCAGCCAGGCCATACTTTTAACACTTGATGTTAGTATTCAAGCTGTCACAAGAAAGCAAATGTTGCCAAAGAGTATACTGAGGCCTTGGATGTTGACAGCAGTGCTTACTTCTTCACTGGCAGGGGAAGAAAGGACAAAATGAAATTAACAATCTGGGGCCATTTTAAGTCAATTGGTTCTTTGATTAAAATATTTCCATATGCTGGATTTCCAGTAGATTCAGCGGATCCTGCAAAGGACCAGCAGGGATGATTACACGGTTAACAAAAATCACTCTTCGGCAATGGGTTGGGAACAGCAGCTCCAGATGAAGCACCTGATTTTATTACCTCTACCAGTAATTTAAGAAACAATCCTACTGCAAGCGTGCACACGTCTGAGTGCGCTCCTGGGTGGTGCATCCTGGCACAGCCCTCCTGGCCACATTCTCTCTGGAAAGAGAAAATGAAGCAAAACTACCTGGAAAACAGACTGCTAGAATTACAGACCACATATTACAGCCCTTTTTATCCAAATTATTGTTTGCACTGACACAAGTGTCAACGCTGGTGGGCCCATAAGCAATGGTGTGGCCAACCAATGTATTCCTGAGGATGAGGACATGCCAGCGTAGCACGGATTAACATTTTTTTCTACTCACGCTTCTTTGGCATACATCACACCAACATCTCCTGGAAGCTTCTGCAGGTCTCGTAAGGTTTGTTCTGCAGAAAGCATCAG